GCAGTGCAGCTTTGTCCCTCTACCTACAGGTGATGTTGAAGACAGCCAATATTCACTGAGCTGAAGGATTAGTTGGGCTTTATACAAATAGAAAGGCAGAACCTTGACCCGAATGAGGGCCTTCACTGATGTCAACTGCAAACCAATCAATGACTTTCAGGTGGAAAAATGTCCTCTGCTGGACTATATGCTGAATCATGAATCTTCACCTGATCTACAACCAGAAGGTTTATAACAAACAGACTCGAGCCGTCATGAAGCTAAGAAAACCAACAGCTGAGAACCTCTTAAGTTTTCACTTAACCGATTAAGTATTTGGATGATTCTATTTTTTATAAACTTACATGCTTCATTCCTTTCTTTTTTTCTGTTTTGAAGCTGAATTGACAACCTGATAATTTCCAACCACTGGTAATCCAGTGGAACTGGATTCCAGCTTGAATGATCTCACCTGTTTGATAAGACCAGTGTCTAGGCTCTCTCCTGGAGATGCGGACCGGCTCGGACCGGCCGACCTGGCCTGACAATGCTCCCTGCTGCCGTACCGCTCGCAGGAGTAGTACCGCTGCTTCTCCCCAGCAGAGGAGTGGTGCCTCCTTTCGTGAGGGCGACTGCGGTCCCGCTCCCTCGCTCGTTCTCTGGACAGACCATCAGCTGACGGGTCCTCAAATGACCCTACAGTACCAGAGTAAAAATAAATCAGGTGTTCGAGGCTACCACTATTCTAATTTAATTGTTTCTGATTAACAAATAAACTTTAATGGCAGAAAAAGGTTAAATGAGAAAAACACAGTGAGCATCGCTCCAACCTCCTGTTCCTTCATCTTTCAGAAAGAACAACACTATTAATTGGGAAGGAACTTTGTACTGCTGTGCTAAATCAGGGCAACTTTATTACACAACATAAACACAAATTGGTGAAATTGGGACAAAAGTCTTCCAGACAACAACTTAAAAAAAAGAAAAACAAAAGAAAGAAAGAAAGACACGTGAATATAGTGAACAGCTGAACGAGCCACTATGGAAACAAAGGAACATATAAACAAACCAGTTGCGTACATTCATAAACGAACCGAAAGACATACAGACAGATTGGTGTCACTAGTTTTTTTTTGAAGAGCTTAAATTAAAACATAAACTAGTTTAAAACAAACTAGTTTAAAACATAAACTAAGTTGACAATGACTAATCATTATTCTGACTGATGATTAGGATATTAATTGAACTACTGTATTTCCGCGACTATAAGGCGCATAGAAAACATTTTTTTTCCCTCAAAATGTGCGGCGCACCCTATGTGTTACTGCGGACGTTATTGAGACAGCCATAAGGACGTTAAAGGGGGAATGGTGGGCGTGGATTGGCTGCCACGCAAATGGACAGAAACTGCCGCCTATGGGGAAAGTGGAAGTGGGCGGCTCACCGGCTGTTCTGGACGGCTGAACGGAGGACGGATTGTCCAAAGATTTCTGTTTCTTGTCCTTGTCCCTGCGTCGATGGCAGCGGTGATGGTGGTGATGATGGTGGGCTCTCTCCTGACCCTGGCCCTGATCCGTGCTAGCAGGAACCCGGTTCTGATCGACCCGCTCCAGGTCATAGTCCCTCAAACCTGCCTCCTGTTGGGGGCGCTGTGGCGTCAGCGAGGACAGCGAGCGTTTGATTGGGCTGAGATCAACGATTGGCTGAAAGGGGAAAAATAAACAGATGAAGTTTGATGAAAGCGGACTGTCAGGTGGCAGCTTCACCCAAGTTACTTAAAAATCAACAAAACATTCGTAACACAAAAATAGAGAACAGGGGGTCGACGTGAAACCTGTTCTTCAATTATCAGGGGAACTTTAGAAGAAGGAAGAGATTTCTATGGCATAAAAAGAATCAAACAGAAAACAAAGAAGGCAGAACTGGCCTTTGATTTCAGCTTTTATCCTACTATATATGGAGGTCCAATTTATGTCTGTGCCTGTAATCGTTCCTTGTCTTAGTAAAACTATGGTGTCAACAAATCTGTTATAGATCAGTTGGATTTCAGAATTCTTTTCTTTTTGCCAAATGGGAGAATAATAATGAGAAAGACTGTCTTTGTAACTCTCTCTGAATTAGAAATTTAGTTAAATCTCTTTAGCATCACAAGCTTTATGACTTTGGTCCAACCTTTGGGTTTCTTTCCAGTAGCTTCTCACAGTAGTTTAAAGAACCTTGGTCAGGTTCCCCTTTCCTCACACATTATTTTTAGCTCAGGCTATATATATTTAATGGGACTGAGATAACAGTCCTTCCAAAGGGCTGACTTCTTTATCCTTAAGTCATTTTGTAGTTAACTTGAAGGTACGCGTAGGATCAGCGTCCTTTTTGACAATCCTTTTATGTCCTATCTTTAACATACTGGCTGATATCTTGAGATGTGGCCTTAATATTTGTAAAGGTTTTCTTTTTTCCACAAGATACCTGCCATGGTATTTAATGAAG